CGTGGGTTCTCTCCGGGTTCTCCGGCTTCCTCCCACAAGTCCAAAAGCATGTTGAGGTTAATTGTTGATTCTAAATTGTCTGTAGGTGTGAATGTGAGTGTGCTTGGTTGTCTGTCTCTAAGTGTCGCCCTGTGATAGACTGGTGACCTGTCCAGGGTGTCCCCTGCCTTCTCCCTAAGTCAGCTGGGATAGACTCCAGCCCCCCGTGACCCTAGTGAGGATTAAGCGGTGTATTGATAATGGATGGATGGATGACTAGACATATTTTCATTGGTTGCCCCAGTGCACCTGACATTTAGCACCTCTGTGTCTCTGGATAGCCTTCCTAAGAATAAAACCACTTGGTTTCATGTAAGATAAACCTTACATTACAATGCATTGGTTTGCACTTTTTAAACTAACTATTCTGGCTACATACCTGTCTGATTTGCATAGGCTGGAGTAAATTAGCCAGGACTACAGGCACGCGGGGCCTTTAGGAAACACCAGTGAATTGGAGCGTTCAGAATCCACCTGCCTTACACTTCCTCCTTCTAAATTGCATGCGTCTTTGCAAGCACTTGGGTCACACCCACCACCTACTACCACAAGCAAATCCTCAACCTGACCGAAACACTGAGATATGATAAAACGAAGAACATTATGCATTGCATTTATTGAAATTGAAAAGAGTGCAGCCAAAGCACAGGTGGAAAGAGGGCTTTAGCTGCCAGGGCATTGACATTCCAAATTGAAATGGCAAAAAGCACAATGTCCCCAAGAAACTCAGAGCTTCGAAGCCGCCCTCCGTGCAGCGTTCCAGCACCAGGCGGGAGGAAAGTGAAGCAGCAAGGAGTTACAAATGGTAATAAAATGTAAAACTGCTTATGAAATAGCCGAAAAGGAAGTACTTTTTATTAACTTTGATTCCCAGATGATCTAATCTGCACCTGTATTTCCATTTATAATCATTTGCATAATGTGTTCAGAAATTACTAATATATGGATGGGAACTTACAAAAAAAGTCATACTTTAAATCCTTGAGACCAAAAGGCGCAGTGGAAAAGTTTGGGTGAACCCAAGTGAAAAAGTTAAGACGAATCAGTGCAACTAATGTATAAAGTCAGTCTGGGGTCCTGCATACAGTAGATAAATTTAGCATTCAACGTATTTGTTCTCCCAATCTAGTGCGTTTTTTTTTTTTTTTTTTTTAGTTTGGTTCTGACCTCCAGTTGCACTCGTTTGACTCATTTGATTTTTTTTTTTGTACATTAGGGTTGATGTTAACAACAAATGCAGCGCTGACAAAAAAAATGGAAGTGTAACTGCCTACTATTTTTGGGAGATATTACCAGACAAAGGCAGAGCAACAAAGCAAGAGAGAAAAAAAAAAAAGATGAGAGAGACAGACAAGCAAAGTGGGTAATCTGAGAGTGAGTAAACAAAATTCACTCAAACACACACACAACCACATTTACAAACACACACCCTTTGGAGTTTCGTCTTCCTCATCCTGGCCTCTGCAGGGGAGAATTAAAAAAAAAAAAAAATCCAATGAACTCCAGAGAAAACCACTTCCTCCGCTGCTTTAGAAGCACGTGTGTGTGTGTGTGTCTGTGTGTGTCTGTGTGTGTGTGTGTGTGTGTGTGTGTGCCTGCCTGCCTGCCTGTCTACCCGCGGTGCACATGGTTAGCATTCAAAGCCCAGTTCAATAGGAACCGCACAGTGAGCTCAGTATGGGCAGGGATGAGAGATGGAGTTCACAGCTGAATTAAACTGAACTGAAACATATGGACAAAAGGGAGAGGAGAGGAGAGGAGAGGAGAGGAGAGCTTCTCATCTCTCTTTCCATGTCCAGATATTCATCTCTTTTTTTTTCATCCGCCAAGACAAGGGCTGCAAATCATTCTCATCTAATTCACCATACTATGCGTTCTGGATATTATTAGTCCAGCAAAGAGATCAGAATCATCCCGACTAAACAGGCAGTTGGCTACTGTTGCAGATTATCTTGGACTGAGAGTCAGAGCATATCTGGGGAACAGTCCAACTATTTACTCTAAGCATGCTTAGCCTGTAAATCCATATGCAGGCCAACAGTGTTTTTGGGACAATTCTGTCTTCTACAAAACACATCCAGATTTTAGGTGTTTTTTTTCTTACATCCCCCTCCCTCTATCTCCTCTCTCACCAGCATGTACTGTGTAAATGTGTTTGATCTGGTCCACTTTTAGTTACGGCGACGTGAACTAGGGCATCTTCAAATTAATTCATAATTATTACACTTTAAACAGTTTGTAAATAATGCAGAGTTTCGATGACCCGAAAAGCATGGCTGCATGAATATGATAATAATTCAAGCCAAATAGTGCGTGGCGTGAGACGGTAAGCGAACCTCCAGAGTGGAATGAAAGCGCCGATGTTTAGATGCAGGATGTGTCCGGGCCCCTGTGTGGCACTATGTGATATGAGCAGAACAGATGAATGCTGACAGATCAGACAGAAGAGGCGGGTTGATGTTGGTAGAAAGGTTGAACTTGGCATGAGTCTGGGGACCCACAGACATCACTCAGCAGTAAAGGAAGGCCTACAGGCTACTGGTTCCCTGCATGAAACCCATTCATAGGAAACCTGTATCATTAGTTTTGGGAGCAGTGATGATGATGATTAATTCATGTTCCTTTGTTGAGCTATATACAGCTTATCTCCCAATGAAAGAAAAAGGCTAAACATAAAGCTTTGTCGCTGTTATATCAGCATCACGAGTTGATGTATTGTCTCAACTCTGTTATCTAATACTGCCTACTGCTTCGTTTTTGGCAAAAAAAAAAAAGTTTGATTCTGACAGTACAATCACTGGTTTAAACCGCTTCTCGGCCTGTTTGAGGCTGCAGGTATCCACAGAAGCAAAAATGATGCTTTATATTGGGTTAATGGTTAAGCTAATTGATTCAAAAGGAAATGGTAGTCTGTCAACACCCTGGCATTGTATCCTAATGTTGGGATACCCCATCGACTCAAATGGCACTGTTGCTCCCCGACATACAGTACATGTAACTGACAACAATTCTCTGAAAAGGCCAGTGCTTCTCAAAGCACGCTGGTCAACGAAGCCAAGTTTAGATTAAACAACAGGAAACACCCAGTTGAGGTTATGTCAAGTCCTTTGGAAGGAAGCAACAAAGAATCTAAAACTAGCTCATCTCATGAAAGCAAATTTCACAACGATATGAACGAGTATATGTAGCGACTGCAGAAAAAGGAACACTCTTAAAAAAGACAGTTTGCAGTATACAACTGGGAGGAGGAAAACAAATATTTTCCCACTTTCCCAGGGAGCAAAATAGCCACAAAATGTGCGTGTATGTTTAAATGTTTGGTCACTTTTTGCTGAGGGTGTACACTCACCCTTTAACACAGACACACACACACACACACACACACACACACACACACTCAGGCAAAACTACATGTCCTTCACTCACGCATGAGGACAGTTAATGGATGTTCACTCCACGATTAGCATGTGCTACATCAGCTCATGAGTGACTGAAGGACATTATATTTTAGATGTCGATGTTCCAAGATGACACTTGCAATTTCATGTTACATTGCAACAGAATGCTTCGGGCAATTTGCTAATTTGGCACTTAATTCTACAGCAAGTTCATTTTATTCACAGTAATTGAAAATGAACAATGAACAATCAGCCATAAATTGCCAATACAACCTGATTTTCTGTGATTCGCAGTGAGCAGCTCATGAATTCATTCCCAATTTAATACAAATACAAAGACACTGATGCAGCTCTAATTTTTTTTTGTGAGTCAGCCTCAGGGATGAAGTTGAAGGGTTTTTTTTGAGCAAAAGGCCTGTGCACAGGATTTGGCTGGCATGTCCCAATCATTTCACATTCACGCCCATTCCAGTTCTGGCAACTGGGAATTTACTGGCCAAGCTGCGGATTGGGGAAAAAACAAAAACAAAAAACAAATAAACAACAACAACAAAAAAACCCTGTCTTTTCATCCCTGGATGACCCAATTGGAAAAAAAACCCAAAAAAAACAGGTACAAACTGTGTCTAGCACACTAAGCTAGACTGAACACAATCTACTTATGATGACACTCCTCTTGCCACAATCTAATACTGTAAATCCCACATGACACGCACAAACAATCTTAAAAAATGTTTTTATGTTCGGTCTTAGCAGGAAAAACTCAAATGCACTTTCAGCCACTGTGTGTGTCAGCTTTCCTGCCACGGATTACACCAACCCTTTCCATTTAAATCAGACTTTCTGTAGAAAAGCTCCGAACACTTACAATGTGTTTTAGTCCAAGGGAGATTAAACTGAATACACTACAGTGAGGGAATCAGGCCCACTTTTATGTCGGATAATCTGCGTGCACATCCTAATATGGGCCACTTAACTGCCCTGTTTCGACCCTAAAAACAAGTCACCCTGGAGAGAATGACTTGGTGCATTTTTAGTATGCAGGTCTGGGGGGTATTAAGGATGAGAACCCACGAGGTCACGGTTGCTAGCTGATGCCACGGTGGAGTTTGAGTCTGACGGGATTCGACGCAGGGCTTTGATGCAATACAGCATTTCACTTGAAATGGGCATGGTACATGATGTTCTCAATGTCTCAGTAATGTCTTTTTCTTACTTACACCTAAATATATATCGTATAGCCACTAAGCTGTCCCATCCACGGTGAACTGCTGAGCATTTTAAATGATAGCTTTATCTGCCACAGAACTTCTCCTCTGGACAAACACAAAGTTGCAGTTCAGAGCTTCCTTGAACATGAGAGTCCATGATTTCCACTTAAAATAGGAACTCTTTTTGATGCTGGACAAACAAGATTAAATGCAACCCATTTCCTAATCACTGCAATGACTGCCAAGACTGGGACATTCACAGGAAATAAACAGATCATGTGCAGAGGTCTTGCTCCTTGGAGGAAATTCCTGATTAGTTCCCCATGGCTGTATAACAAACACTCAGACCTACCTGAGGTTTGACCAGGGCCATCCAGTTTGGATTCACATTTTGGAAGAGAGCAATCTAAAAAAAAAAGAGAGACAGAGAGACAACAAGAAAAATGAGAAAAAGAAAGTGAGTTCAGTGAGGGAAATAAAGATTGAAAGATTTGCCCTGTGACCCAGTAGAACGGCAGCATAACCATCACCGTATTTTAGTGTCAAAAATTAAAGCTTTGGGATTATAGGGTACAAATGAGAGAGCGAGTGAGCAATTGTGCAGCAGCTCTTTGATCTGAATATCTGGATAGTCCCTTCCTGAGATTAAACACCATTAAACATTTTGCACGCAGATGCACAAGCGCGCACAACGTACATGTAAACTCACATGCACCAACAGTACAGGCTCCAACATGTATATAGATCAAGAATATAGATCCTTCTGCTCTTTATCTCTTCTTTACCATATGCTCTTACACTTTGTCACACCCCCTCACACACACACACACACACTCATGCGTGACTCTCAGCCCAGCGTTGATAAGCGAATGAATCATTTAAAGATACCAAGCACCGTTGATATCAGTATCTCTAATGCCTCAGGAATCATCTTTAGGGAGATGAAATGTTAAAAAATAAAATAAAATCCAACCAGATTTGTGGAAAAGCAGAGCGGTGTGTCTGGTGCTTGGTATTCTCAGCTTGCAACATTGGACTGGAGACAAATTTGGTCTGCAGAGCTGAAGTCGGGGACGTCAGTTTTGGTACCGAAATCGATTTGGGACAGATTAATCAATAACGACCGATTCATTATGGATGCAGTCCTAATCCACATATCAAGGCCTCAAATCTCATTTCAGCAAAATTCATACATAACTTATTGGAAAAAAAAGGACAAAAGAGTTGAAAGAGTGGTGTAAGAAGTGTTCTGTGTCGATGACATAATCCCTGAAAATAAATACTAATTACACCTGAACTCGTTAAATGAAAACTTCCCAAATTTCAGAGCAATGTATTTATTTATTTAATTCTTACTTGGACATGCATCTTGTTTCTAGCAAACTGAGAAGCTCTTTCTGGGTCAGTCAGCAGTAGGACACTGTAGTGGCACCAGATAACAGAGGAGGGGAATGAGGGACAGGGGCAGCTTAGTTCTTCACTCTGACTTCCCCTGGCTGCCTTTCTGAGGAGAACAGCCTGGCATATGCTGCTGCCTAGCGAGGATTACAGTAAGCACCTGTTCACACGCTGTATGTTACATTTCGTACAGTGTGGATAAAGTGTTTGGTCCGGTGAAAAGCGCTAACAGAATTTTCGACGGCTTATGTGTGCTTGGCATCGATTTATTGTTCGCAAGGTGAGTTAGTGAAAAGACAGAAGGCATTTGTCTACTGAAAAGGATGTACGAAAGAAAGAAACCACAGAGTTGAAGACAAGTGATGGAAACGTCACATTATAACTGCCATTAACATCAAGCTGGTACAGGAAGCTAAGTGTGCTACAAAATCTCCTTATCTGACCTCCATCTAGCTCAAGAGGGCAAAAAGGCAGATTACGTAGTTATTGATAGCTGCAGCTTCAAAACAGGATTGACATGATTCATTTAATGTTCATAAGAGCAGCACAGTGTAAATCTGGGTCAGTGTTTTTTTTATTATGAAAGGCTAGAGGAAAAATAGGAACCATTATTGTCTCAATAATAAAGTGACACTGAGCGCTTTGTTTCAGAGATTCACCTTACATTATTTCAGTGTGAAATTTGAAATTTCTTAGATTTTCTGTGCAAATATTCAGCATTTTACTGGCAACAAGCTTTAGCCTGGCTCGCAACAGTGAGCTGCAGCTAGAGAACTGGCAGTATCTCTTGTAGAACAGTAACAATTTACCAACAGCAAGTACCTCTGCGAGCCTGTACAGTAGAACGAGATGTTAAGTTTGATCCTCAACCTATTTTATCCGAAGCCAGCGAGGCCAAGCGGCAGTTTAGCCCTCCTAAGTCGGAGGAGCACTGGGTTGGCACTGTTCACGCAACACAGATCAGAGCCTGCTGCTGTCTTCAAAGCAAGACGGCATGATGCACTGTGAGTCTGTTTGTGAGCGAAAGAGAGACTCCACAGTTCCTGTTGGACAGACTGAGCACAGCTGTTGACAGAAGACAAGCAGTCTCGGGCAGCACACAAGCTCACACATGTACGCAAACACATACTGCAAGCTGCGCTTTGATTTTACCAAAGCTGAGTCCATGTTCTGCTTTATTCACATTTATTTTTTGTTTTCATACTAACTGAAGTGAAACCTCAGCTTGTCTGCTGAGAGAAGTGAAGCACGTCGTTGGTACAGAGAAAAGCAGCATAAGGATCTGGTATCTGAAATTGCACATATGCAGCTGGACGTCTGCAAGCGAGCTTCTGTGTGTGACAGAAAATGAATAATTTAAAGTTATTGCTACACTATCAGCCTCATACAACATTTAGGAGCGAATTACCCGAAAGAAAACTGAAAAAGAACAAAATACTGCACAGCTGAGAAAGACCTCCAGTTATCTTTCTCACTCTACACAGGAACAGTAACTGGCTCACTCGCTAACCAATTTTATGAATGGAAAAATGGCACAGCACTTGACACTTGACATAGTAACACAGCACCTCTCTCTCAAGAGGAAGTTCTTTAAACAACTGTGTCTCAGAACTCAAGGGGAGTGTGGCCTCATGACTCCTTGGCTGTTTTTTCAAAGTGCTATTCTTGAAAAAAAAAAAAGAGAAGAAGAAAAAAAAGGCACAGAGCATTGCGGGAGGCTTGTGACTTCAGATACCACATCCAGATGCTTCCTTGGTTTAAGCTGTGGGGAGACGGAGAGGAGATGGGCTGGGACATCAGCTGAGTGCAAAATAGAAAGCATGAGGAAGGAAGAATTACATTTTGTGAATGAATCGTCATCAGTCTTCCATGCTTCATTTGTTGAAAGAACAAAATATCGTTTAGCTTATTTGGGTTACTGGTGAACTTTCTTTTTAAAATTTTATGGCAAAATGCTGTGGTATTTTGTATTTCTTCAATATGGCCCAAATCTATTTGTCAATCTGTCATTCAAATTTAATAACCTTTGCTCGGATGTCAAATTTACTAAAGGTACAAGAAAAACGGAAGGCATATGCGGTGTTGTGACTCACAAGCGGGAGGCCAGATATTACAAAACAAGATCATTATTTGGATATATGACAACACTGAGCAGAGGCAAAGTATGAGGTAATGATGGAAGGCTGTGTGGGAGAGGAGTGGAGGAGGCGATGAAAGGAATGGAAAAAAAAAAAGAGGATAGAATGAGTGGGAGTCTGCAGTTGACTGATAGAGGTTTCTCTCTTATCAGATGGGGGATTTGCAGGAGACACTCAGACCAACCCACAGCCTATTTTTATGACCCGCAATCCTCCTATGCCTCCATCCCGTCTTCGTCGCTCCATCCCCCTCCCCTCTTCCTTGCTTCCAGGACCCCAGGCGACGTGGGTGGGATGTAGTGATTTATACCTTTGTGCATGTGTGTGCATCATGTGTATGCGTGTGTGTGTGTGTGTGTGTGTGTGTGGTAATGAAGTTGTCCCACAGGCTACACTTAACATCCTACAAACACATTACCAACCTATTGGAATTCCTAAATATCGACATGAAGCTACCAACCTTTATCATTCATGTATATGGAGAAGAACTCGACCGATTCCCAGCATACACTGATTTTATCGCTTTACATTAATGGATGGGGAATAATCTCAGAGCATATGAGCAATTTAGAGGATGGCGGCAATTTTTTTTCTCCCATTTAAGACATCAGTCTCAATCTCATTGACATTACACAGAAAATGAATGACTGATCAGCTTCATTTGAATTGAAATAAATGTATTTGCACAACTGAAACGAATGACCCGGCCCCCTTGTCTGTGTGTCTTCAAAGCGACCCCATAGATGTACATGACATTTTACAACAATCAATAAGCTGGCGAGATGGAGGGGCAGTTACATGTCCATAAAGTGTATTACGACTCTTTCAAAAAGGTCGAGAGTCTTTGATGAGATCGATCAGCACGGCCTGGCTGTAAAACAGGTAATTGCCTCGCCATGCTACCTTCCTGATTTGTCTTTGCCATAAAACTCTCCGATGAACACTAAAAGATGAACAGACAGCAACAAGCATCCAGACATTGGGGGCATATAGTAGGCTTTTTATACAAGGACAAAAAAAAAACTGCCTCCTATTACTCACATAGAGTACACTAGCTGTTTTTGTTAGGCTGTCAGCTGCTTATTAGCAGTAGGAGTAACACTGCTTTCTTTCTTTCTTTCTTTCTTTCTTTGGTAAGTTCAGCACTGTTTATTGGCCCCGTTAATTGGCTTGTATATACAGAATGTGTTACTGCTTACATTAATTGAGAAACGTGATTAAGTCTGTAATTGCATTTGATGTGGTTGTTAATAGCGGAAGGTCAGATTAGATTGAATTTAACCATTTTGCAGCAATCATAAAGTTCAGCTGTTGGTTAACAAGCACAAGTGAGTGCAGAACATAAACGGGGCCTGAGCTTGAATGCATGAATCCATAATTCAAAGAAAAAAAGAATTAATAGCACAGTGGCACAGTCCGCAGCTACAAAGACTTGCAGTATGCAAGAGTCATTTTTGCTTATTTTATATTCCTGTGTTTTTGCAGCAGGCACCCTGAAACCACTTCCTTGCTCTCAGTTGTGGCCACTGAGAATATGATGACATCCGGGTCTTTCTTTGCAAAGCTTTTGAACTGCTTTAGAATATTTTCTCACACATTAATGATGCCGCCGTTTACTCTCGTTACTTTGTGTGGCATTGTGATGCATTGTAGAAGAAGCACGATCATGTTGAACATTTTTATTACTGAAAAGATAATGAATCAGCCCGTTTGTTGTGGCTATTTCAGAAGCTGCTCATTATTTTGTACTGCCTTTGTCTTTATTATTTATTCATTTTACCAAAAAAAGTGCATTGATATCCATGTCTTTCTACATAGATATCTAGTCCTCTCTTTCTCCTGGGGGTTGAAAAAATGAGATAGTCGACTA